TCCTGTATGTTATGTGTAATTCTCAGTATATGTTCTTATTCTCTATGTATGGACTATGTTCTTATTCTCTATGTATGGACTCTGCACAGTATTACTTCTCTTGTCCTGTATGTTATGTGTAATTCTCAGTATATGTTCTTATTCTCTATGTATGGACTATGTTCTTATTCTCTATGTATGGACTCTGCACAGTATTACTTCTCTTGTCCTGTATGTTATGTGTAATTCTCAGTATATGTTCTTATTCTCTATGTATGGACTATGTTCTTATTCTCTATGTATGGACTATGTTCTTATTCTCTATGTATGGACTCTGCACAGTATTACTTCTCTTGTCCTGTATGTTATGTGTAATTCTCAGTATATGTTCTTATTCTCTATGTATGGACTCTGCACAGTATTACTTCTCTTGTCCTGTATGTTATGTGTAATTCTCAGTATATGTTCTTATTCTCTATGTATGGACTCTGCACAGTATCAATTCTCTTGTCCTGTACACCGGGTGTAATTCTCAGTATATGTTCTTATTCTCCATGTATGGACTCTGCACAATATCACTTCTCTTGTCCTGTATGTTATGTGTCATTCTCAGTATCTGTCCTTATTCTATATGTATGGACTCTGCACAGTATTACTTCTCTTGTCCTGCATGTTATGTGTCATTCTCAGTATCTGCCCTTATTCTCTATGTATGGACTCTACACAGTATCACTTCTCTTGTCCTGTACACCGGGTGTAATTCTCAGTATATGTTCTTATTCTCCATGTATGGACTCTGCACAATATCACTTCTCTTGTCCTGTATGTTATGTGTAATTCTCAGTATCTGTTCTTATTCTCTATGTACAAACTCTGCACAGTATCACTTCTCTTGTCCTGATCTCTGGGTGTAATTCTCATTATCTGTCCTTATTCTCTTTATTCTCCATGTACGGACTCTGCACAGTATCACTTCTCTTGTCCTGTAATCTGGGTGTACTTCTCAGTATCTGTTCTTATTCTCTACGTATGGACTCTGCACAGTATCACTTCTCTTGTCCTGTACGTTGGGTGTAATTCTCAGTATGTGTTATTGTGTCTGCATGGCACCACTTCTGTTCCATCCTGGAAGTTATTTTTGGCATCTGTACTTATTTGTGAAGTGCTCTGCACAGCTTCCTATGTCTGCTCAACATCTATTTTACTGAGTGCATTCCTAGAGACTAAAACTAATCAGAGCCGTAGCTAGCTCCTTTTGCGCCCGAGGCAAGAACAGAAAATTGTGCACCCCCAACCAACAGGAGTGTGATGTCCCCCGACACCGCACATGCGTGGTGTCATGTGATATCATGTGCCACACCTCCATTTTTATTTTTTACTTTGGAGGGGGGTGGGGATTTGGCCTCAGGGAAATATCAGGGATCTAAACAGACCTCTGATATTTCCCTTTTGGAATAGAAAAACAAATTAAGGACACAGAGTCCTTAATCTCTTTTTCTGCAGCGTCTGTTCTAAATGACTGGAAAACACTTGGTACAGAGGCTTCTCATTCATTCATAAAATATTTACTATCATTCAGTTTCTGAATGGGGAGAAGCCTCTGTACTGAGTGCTACTACCTATTCAAGAAACTCATGAATGAACAGGAAGTGCTTTTCATCACTTCCTGTTCATTCATGAGTTTTCAGATGTGTAGTAGCCCTCTTCACAGCACTATGTGTCCCCAGTTGTTTACAAACACTGGAGTGATCAGCTGATCACTCCAGTGTTTGCTCTGCACACAGAGGATCGGTAAATATCACTGATATTTACCGATCTTCCGCTCCCCATCCTGAGCCCATCGGCCACGCTCAGAGGGGTGGCACAGCCTGCTGCTTCTCTTTGGATCCCCGCTGCTCTCCCCTGCCTGTATGGGCAGAGGCAGTGGGGATCCGAGGAGAAATGCGCTGAAGCCAGCGGGAGGGGTTGAGGAGGGAGCCGCTGTCACTGCAGGATGGCCAAGCGGTGAGGAGAGAGACGCGGGCTGTCAGATCCTGGCCGAGCAGGTCTCTCTCTCCTCACCGCTCGGCCATCCTGGATGACAGCTTTCTCTTCCGCCCCCTCCTCCCGGCTTCAGCGCTCCATTTTTACTCAGATACCAGCTGCCTATACAGGTCAGGGAGAGCAACAGGGATCTGAGGAGAATCTGCAGGCTGTGCCACTCCTCTACTCCCTGCCACCCTGTGTTGACTGCCAGGTGCCTCTTTTGCCATGGCGCCCTGTGCTCGCCATGGCAACAGGGAGAAGGGGACGCAGCCAGGCCGGCTCTGGCTGCGCCCCCTCACAGCTATGCCTTAGGCAAGTGCCTCATTCGCCTCACCCTTCCTATGGCCCAGATACTAATACCCAAACTAAAGCTAGCCCTCCAAGGAAGAACTTACTAAAGCTGGCCATATATTGGGGAGAGACGTGAGACGAATGTTATTTGAAATTCCGTTCAATTTTAATATTCAGTTTTGGAATGAATGGAGTTCATCGTTAGAATTTTGTTCCTTCGATAAATATTTTTCATCGTGCTCCTTCGATTTTTGCATCACTACTTTAGGAATTGATCGTCAATTTGAACCGGCTATTAGAGAGATGGACTCAACATTTTTCTAATGAAATTCTACTGGTATATGCCCAGATTTACTCACCTCTCCTGCTGTCAGAGCTGCTCATATCCGCAGTGAAGAAAAATCACCTCTACATCACTATAGGACCCAGTAGTGATATAGGGGCCAGTGGTTTGGTCCGGGTGGAGGGGTTTTGGGACCAGAAGACCAACATCCTCAGAAGTGTTGGTTTCGGAAAGATTCTTCAGCAGGTAATTTCTCTTCATTACTGCAAAGATTGGCAGAGCCGGCAGTAAGAAATATGAGTATCTAAGTTCTGCTTTGCAAGGAAACTTTAAATAACAGTTTTAACAACAAATTAGATTTAAAGCCCATGTTTAAAGCCTCTTAATGTAGCCAGCCTGAGTTTTTAGAGCAACACTTCTCACTTCATTTACCCTGCAAGCTGTTCTCCCAGGTTGACATCATTAAAGTGACACTAAACTCAAGCATTAAACCTTAAAAATGCATTCAGGTACCTTAATTATTAACAATAATATATCTTATTTGAGTATCACTCGGCTGCAGATCCTCAAATCATCTCTGAATTGGTGCCGACACTGGCCTTCCTTCTGGAGGGTGGCTACTTTTGTTCCCCATGGTCCCGGTGTGTGTTGCAAAGTAGTCACCGCTCCAAGCCCTGTCCTGTAGTCCTGCTGTGATGGACTACAATCTCATGTTTAGTTTCCTAATTTATATTCAGATTGTTGTCCATCACAGGAGTGACCTTGGAGCGGTGACTACTTTGCAACAAACACCGGGACCATGGGGAACAAAATAGCCCCCCTCCAGAAGGAAGGACACTGTCAGCATCAATTCTGAGATGATTTGAGGATCTACAGCCGAGTGATACACAAATGAGAAACATTTTTGTTAATAGTTAAGGTACTAGAATGTATTTTTAAGATGTAATTCCTATGTTTAGTGTCACTTTAAATCTTATCAGTATGACCACAGCCAGAATTTTGACACCACAGAATAACAAAGCTAATGCTTATACGTGATTCACTTATTTTACAAACCTGAGTGGGCAAAATTGGTTGTTCTGTTAGAATATAATTTTATAATAAGTCCACATTATCAGACAGGTCTAAAAATCTGTTTACAAAAAAGTGGCAATCAGATCTTATGACTGGATCATATGGCTAGAGATGGGCTCGATGTTCGGCAAACACACGAACTGTCAGGGCGTTCGGCAGGCTGTTCGCCCACCGAGCTCACCGCAAGGCACTATGCCTTGTGGGCCCTGATTGGTCAGGTGCAAGACTTTGCCCAATCAGGGCACAGTACTATGTAAGAGCCATAATTGGGCTCTTACAGAGTACAGCTCCTACTGTCTCTTGGGACAACAGCCATTTTTGCTCAGCTGAAGGCTGAAAAAGAGTGCCTATGCACAGGTTCTAATTTTTGTTATTGCTACATATATGCCCAGGGCCGGCGCTACCATACAGGCAGCACAAGCGGCCGCTTGAGGGCGCTGGTGGAGGAGGGTGGAAAAACACCTCTTCACCCATCTCCCTCTGCTGTCGGCTCTATCCAGAGCCGCGATATTTACATATGAATGGATCGCGACGTATTGATATGCAAATTACCACGGCCCATTCATATGCTAATATCTCGGCAGGGGCAGTGCAGAGTTCTTCCTGCACTGTCCCTGCCGATATATTAGCATATGAATCGGCAGCTGTAATTTGCATATTAATAAGTGACTCACTACCCATTCATATGTAAATATTGCGGCTCATTCATATGCAAATCGCCTCCCGCACTGCTAAGGAAGAAGAAACTACCTGAAGACTGCAAGAACAAGGTCAATTTTAGGTGTATACCTTTTTTACATTGGCGGTCATTGTAAATACTTTTGTTACATTGGCGGTCATTGTGCAAACTTTCGTTACATTGGCAGTCATTGTGCAAACTTTCGTTACATTGGTGGTCATTGTAAATACTTTAGTTACATTGGTGGTCATTGTAAATACTTTAGTTACATTGGCGGTCATTGTGAACACTTTCGTTACATTGGCGGTCATTGTGAATACTTTTGTTACATTGGCGGTGTTTGTATTTGGGGAGGGGGGGGGGCGGTAAAATGCACCTTCGCATGTGTAGGCAAAAAACCTTGCACCGGCCCTGCATATGCCGGCAATAGAGTCCCCAAAAACAATAACAGGAGACTCTGGATTGCAAGCAGGGGGACTGAAATATGTCCTTAGCGGTGGTACTTTGGCCAACGGGTCTGTGGTGTTGTATAGCCCACATTCAGATTGTCTGTGGGACAAGGAGTTTTCATGCTCTGATCTCTGTTGGGGTCAAAAATGGGGACCACCACTCTAAAATTACGGTGGTGCTATGCTTGTGAATACAATAGAGACACTTAAAAATTCTTACCCTCTATGGCTCTTTTAAAGAAGACTTTGCAGCTCCCACAGGTGAGGACTCCATAATGGCAACCCGAGGCTTCATCACTACAGATTAAGCAGATCTTCTGGGGCAAAGCATCAAAATCATACTGAGAACTTTGGTCTGGGTCATCGGGCCTTCAAACAAAAATAAAGAAATATAAAAAATTTGAAAAAGTACAACAAAAGCCACAGATATTATACAACCATCTTATAAAGAAAAACTCTGTTGGGCAATACATGCCTCCAAACTAAATACAACAACAACCCTGCCAATGGACGTCAATGTCAGGGTGCTACTTGATCACTGTGATCTAGTGACCGCCTGCGGTGGGCAACCATGCATATGGCTAATGAGTCATTCAGGTAAAGCTGTTAGTTCGGCTTCTGTAGGTTGGGAGTTGGATTCAAGCATTCTATCCAGCACGCTACTTTACCAACCAAAACCAATAAGAAGGATTAAATAAAGAAGACCTGAGTGTAGCAACTCCTCCACAGCATATATGTTTGTATATAAGGTGTTCCCAAAGTCTACCAGTGACTGCAGAGAGTCTTGTCACTCTCATAAACAGCCCATTCTTCTATTTACATTGCAGCTGTGCTGCCAACCCATCCATATGCATGGACCAGCAAAGCACCACAAAATCCAAAAAAAAGCCATGCACCATTTTTGGCAACACAGTGCACCTCCACCGACTGTATGAATGACACCGCAACCACAGTGCATGTAACATACTAGCTAACAAGCTAAAAAAATTAAACTTCCATCCTTAATTTAAAACAAAATACACAAATACAGTGTTACAACCATAAAGTTTACTTCAGAATAAAAATACAAGCACATTTTTTTGCAATCGCACTGCACTGGAATGCCCAGCATTGTGGTGCTGTGTGCTTACAACCATAAAGTTTACTTCAGAATAAAAATACAAGCACATTTTTTTGCAATCGCACTGCACTGGAATGCCCAGCATTGTGGTACTGTGTGCTCCAGTGCGGGCGATCACACTGTGGGTTGGAGGCGTGTTTGGGGTGCCATTGAAATGAATGAACCTCCCGTAGCATAATTTGTCAGGCCGACTTTGTCAAATTACTTTTTTCCCACCTTCCATGATTTTTTTTTTTTATAATTCTATTGTAAGCACATGGCGCTTGAATAGCTTCAGCCCGGGAATGACAGCTGCCAGTGGCAGGATTCCACAGACGGCAGCTGAATGTAAATACAGCAGGTAGTGGGCTGGTGCAATAGCCAGTCTGCTATTGGCCATTTCAAATTGCAACAGCCAGCTCGCGGTATACTGCGGTGTCTCAGTATACTGAGCCTAGGGTGACGGGAGGACGCTAGTTTGTGTCCTCCCGTTACCCTAAGGAGAACTATGGGGAAAAGCCTTAACCCCATAGTTCTCCTTTAAAAGGGTTACTACTGTATGTAAATCTGAGCAGTTCTGAGCACTGCTATCACGGGTCCTTGTGTTCTGCACAGTGATCATTATCTCAGCCTAGTAACTCAGAACAATACTTGGAATTACATTGTATCAAGTGACAGAATGACCTGGCTCTTTATCGATGCATAAAGACTTAACCCGCCAAAGCCACAGCTTCAGTTCCATTGTACATTATATATTGTATATTTCACTAAATATAAATCATTTATTATTTAATTTTTTTACCTAACATGCAGCCTAGACGCTGACACACTGATATGTCTGTGAAGGTTCTCATTCATCCAGGCCATGGTATATCTGTAAAAAATAAGTCAAGGCAACTGGGATAAGGGTCTGGCATGGATTTTAGAGGGACACTATGCCGGCCGCTGTGAGGAGGGAGCCAGGGAACAAGAACTGAAGACGGCACTGAAAGCCAATCATGGGGCAGCCATGGGGCCTTGGACGGATGTGAGGACCCAGCAAACAGAGTCCCCCGCCAGGAAATAGCTGAAGTTAGAAGACCAGCCAGAAGAGGTAAGGGTAAATAATTCATTAAAATAATTATTATTTGTAGCCTAATGTTGTATAAAGTAGCACTTTATACAACATTAGGCTACAAATAATAATTATGAAAAGTACTGCTGGTATTTGTAGTGCTCTACAGCAGGTGCCATTCTGCAATGCAGCAATGCAGAATGACACCCTCTATAGAGGAATACAAATCTCAGCAGTACTTTATACAGAAATGCTATTGTTATATAAAGTATTGCTGGGATGTGTAGTCCTCTATAGCGTGTATGTGCCATTCTGCATTGCTGTAAATATTAAAGTGACATTAACGTAAAAACATCCCCCCCCCAATGTTAATGTAAGCACTTACCTTAAATTATGTCTCTTAATCCGATCTTCCTCTTCTTTCCTGTCCTTTTCAGCCTTTCCTCCAGCGATGCGGCGGGGGTCCGATCCAGCGCTGACTCCTCTGGACTTGCTGGCACTTCCTGTCCCACGGTGTCTGCATGCGGGTGCACGCGTCCATAGACGTACCTTGCGTCTCTCCTCTTCTCCCGGCCGAAAATCCAAACTGCGCATGCGCCCGCCCCATGATGCTTTGCAACCGCCCAAGCATTTCGGATTTTCGGACGGGAGCACGCGGTGAAGACACAGGTAAGTTTAAAAAACGGAGGGTTAAGTAACCCTTTAACTTTATTTTTTTGTGGTTGCTTCGGCGGTTGAGCTCGTCACTTGAAAAGTAGATCTCCAGACGAAAAATTGTGGGCGCCCCGGAACTAGACAGTGCACAATGTGGTCTGAGGAAGCAGACTTCATCTGTGAAATGCGTCACTACTGCTTTGCGACAAGTATCTCCTCATTTATCTAAGATACTCTCTGTAATCCTGTATATATGTAAACATGGTCTGATGACATTATATCTTGGCGGCTTCAAAGAAAAACCCTGGGCAAAACGTTTATTAACCCTTGCAGTGTAGCTATCTGTGCACTGCAAGGGTTAAGTCCTCATTTTGGTCTAGAGAGGACAATAACAAAGTTATACTCACCTGATCCTTGGAGCCGAATGGCTGTCACAACGCTTCCACCAGCCTGTCTTCTCCTACACTGCAGTGATAGTATGTCCATTGGAGTCCTCATGCCTATCTACAGTGTACTGGACGTGATGACTCGAGGCTCCTTAGACCGCTGCAGTGAAGTGTTAGTTAGATGGATGGACTGTTGTAAGAGCAAGCCGGCGAGTATAACTTTTTTAACACACAAGACAAAAACGAGCAGTTAACCCCTGCAGTGAGGGGGAAGCCCACTGCAAGGGTTAATAAATGTTTTGCTTGAAGTTCTTCTTTAAGTGTACCACTACTTGACAAACAGGGAGTAGGGGCTAGGTTATTGTGCAACCAATATCGATATTAGAACTGCAATGGTCATCACATTGGAGTAATGTATTATTTTATATGTTGATTTTGAATGATGAGTGTAATACACTTTTAACTATATCAACTAAGAGGCTTTTTTTTATACATGATTGGATTAATTCTTTCTCTCAATTGATTTTACTGTATTATCAAACACCTGAAAAATCCTATGAATTGGACTCTTTTTCAACTGTTAATAAAAGATCTAACCAGAACTCCTCAGATTCTCATCGCTTTCTGTCCCAGAGACAATGATCACCAGGACCAAAATTGAGGGTAGTGTAAACTGTCCTTCCTTCTGGAGGGGGGCTACTTTTGTTCCCCATAGTCCCTGTGTGTGTTGTAAAGTAGTCCCCTCTCCAAGCTAGCTCCCATTATGGACTACAATCTCACGTTTAGTTTACTAATTTGTATTGTGATTGTAGTCCATCATGGGAGTGAGCTTTGTGCCGTCACTACTTTACAACGGGACCATGGGGAACAAAAGTAGCCACCCCCCAGAAGGAAGGTCAGTGTCAGCACCAATTCAGAGATGATTTGAGGATCTACAGCCGAGTGATACACACATAAGATAGATTTCTGTTAATAGTTAGGATACTTGAATGCATTTTTAAGATTTCACTCCTGAGTTTAGTATCACTTTAGAATACAGGTCTTCTAGTAGTAGATGTATGCCTGTGCAGCAAATAGATCTACCTGGTGTACTTGCTGTGACTACGTTGTAACTAACAATCAAAGTCACAGAGAATGTTCTGAGAACATAAAGCATTCACTCGTATTTGGTGATCTCCAGTGATTACCTATTTTGGGGTTTGTTTGTTTTTTTTAATTGTTCTTCTTCTACCCCTTACTGACACTCTCTAACATCCCAGCAAAAAAAAAAAAAAATTAGAAAAAGACTTCTAACTGGACTCATGCCAGTCTCAAAGACACAAAATGCACGCCATAAAGAAATACGTTTATTTCTGCACAGACGGGGTTATTTTTGCAAACACAGCAGTAAGTGCTTTTCGTTCCTCTTTTACATAATGCACATTATTTATATTTGGTATAGTGGTCCTAGTCTTTTGGCTTACTAAATTAGGCATTGGGGGAATCAATGACAATGTGTAAAATGTGGTAACCCACAGAGACCAATCACAGTCTACCTTTTATCAGTTTTTAGAACAATTAAATGCATTTGGTTGCTCTACTAAGTATGGCCACAGACAGGCAAGATGTTCCACTGATAACACCACCAAACCTGCAGGTTCTAAAGCTGGCCATACATTTTTGATGGAACGCTCAT